GGGATTCTGTATACTTTTTTATTATCACATTTGTCTTTTTTTTTTCCTTTTACACCAGTACCACCTATTTTAACTACCATGACTTTGTAATAAGCCTTGATGTCTGGTAAGCCAAGCTCCCAACTTCGGTCTCTGTCAATATTGACTTAATTATTTGTTAAGATTCATTCTCTTATATAATTTTTGCAATCAGTTTAAATTGTCTGTAAAATCTTGTTGGGGTTTTGATTGGAATTATTTTGAATTGTGCAGATTAATTTGGGGGAGAACTGACATCTTTATAAATGTTAAGTTGCCTCATTCGTGAACATGGAGTATATTTCATTTCCTCAAGTTTAAATTTTCTCCATAAATGTTTTCTACATTGTTTAGTAGGTTGATTACTACTTTGTAGTTCTCATTGCTATTGTAAATTATATCTTTTTAAAATTACATTTTCTTGTATTTAATGGAAGTAGAAGAACATTATTACTTTTCATGTACTGATCTTGTACATAGTAAAGTTGTTGATTTTTCCTTTTAGTTCTTAGAGTTTGCAGATTGGGGTTTTCTATACAAATTATCATATCATCTATAAATGATGGAGAAGAGGTGTCTTCCTTTTCCCTCTGTTTACCACTGTTTTTCTTTTCTTTCTGTGTTAACGAGAACCTCTAGAATCCTGTGGCACAGTATTGACAGCTGCTCTGCTTGTTATATTCCTGATCTGAAAGGAAATTTCTCCTAAGTATGATGTTTTCTCTACATGTTTGCTATATAGCCTTTGTCAAATTAAGGATGTTCTCATCTATTCACTTTTGTAAAGTACTTTTTAAAAAATATAAGTTAGTATTGAACTTCATAATTCAGCACTGACCATGTTGATGGTTTTCCCCCTTTTTATCACTAATAGGCTGAATCACATGAATAGGTAATCCTTGCAATTCTGGGATAAATCCTACTTAACCATGATGCATTTTGAAAAATATACCATTATATTCAGTTGTCTAATCATATGTTTAGGAGTTTTGCATCCATGTGGACCATTGTGCAGATTTTAGTGTTCACTCTGTGTGAAATGGACAGTCACCAAAGGCTTTCCAGTGGAGGAATGACAAGATCTGATTAACATTTTTGGAGAGGATCATTCTGGCTGCAGTTTTGAAACTAGAGGATAGCACACATGGATGGAAGCAGGGAGAAAAGTTAATTAGCCTATTATTTTTTCAAATCCAGATACAAAATCATGGTTTGGAGCATGGTGGCAACACTCAGAAGGATGGGGAGGCTGGATGTTGCTCTGTTTTGAAGGTCAGGCCAGCAGGGTGTTCTGCTAGATTGAATGTTGCATATAAGAGAAAAAACAAGTCAGGTTTTTAACTTGAGCCAGTTGAAGAACGGAGTCGCCACTGAACATGATGAAGAATGCTGCAAGTGTAGCAGATTGTGGGATAAAAAGGTGATGGGTGGTTACTGAAATGAGGAGTTTACTTTGGGCCACGGTAATCATACTGGAGAGCTAAGGAACACACTGCAAAGCTTAGAGGATCTGTCTGCAGGTTAAGCTCCCATAAACACTGCCTGGAACTTTGCTCCAGAAATTGTTTGATGAGGGACCCGCCATGCTGCTGATGCCCCGTCATCATTGCATGCTAGGTAAAACAGGATTTCAGATTCACCACGATCATAATTGCTATCAGCACTACGCCACTTCCATACCTAAATGCAGCTGTGGAATCACTGCTGCTCTGAGGACCTGTTAAGGCCTCTTAGCTTTCACCTGCACCACCAAACACAGACTCTGTGCTGAGTTTTTTCCTCCAGTTCCTCACCCTAAATCCAACTCTCCAGCAGGTACATCTGACTAGTGGGGTCACTTGCTTGTGCTAGCTGCAAAGGAGGCTGGGTAAGTAAGTGTTCTGACTTCTGTTTTGGGAAGACAGAACTCATAAAGCAATACACTTATGAAACACAACAAGGGTGTTCACAAGACTCTAGGCAGTTAGAAAACAGGAGAAGTAGCTATCAGAGTTCTTGGATCACCTTTAATGCCCCAGTTTTGCTGCTTTCATCTCTTGTGGTTTCTTTTGCTCCAATTACTTTTTTTATTCATCCGTATTTTGTATGTGTCCATGGACTGTCCCTTTTTATGCTGAGTATTATCCCATTGTATGAATGTACCACAATTGTTTCTTTCTTTCTTTTTTTTTTGAGGTTGATGGACACTTGGGCTTTCCAGTTTGGGGCTATTATGAATAAAGTTTCTTTGAACTAGAAATTTGTACTAGAATTTGTGTAGACATGTATTTATTTTTCTTAGGTAAATGCCTAAGAGTGGAAATGCTGGGTTATCAGATAGGTGTATGTTTAGTTTTATGAGAAAGTGCCGAGAAAAGCTAGTTGTACCATTTTATACTCCCACCAGGCGAGCATGATAGTCCCAGTTGCTCCACCTCAAACATTTCCTCTTCCCAGGATTCAAGCCCAGGTCTGTACCACTCCAGAATATGTCTGTGTGTGCTCTTCCTGCATTTTGGCATCGGGATCTGCGTGTTCTTTGCTATAAGGACAACTCTCATGTCTCCACAAGGGAGAGCGTACTGTAATGCTTATTCTCGGGCTGACCTTGGTCAAGTCCCTTCCCTGCCCTGGACAGCAGGTGCCTTTGTGATGACAAGAAGCTCTGAGAAGATGATTGTTTAGCTTCCTCCCAGCGGTGACATTTTCCCATCAGCCTGTCTAATCTATGTTGGGTCTTGGTTTCCTTTTCCATCTGTCACTTGACACCATGCAATTGATTACATTTCTTTAACTGCCTTGGAAAACAGCTTGTATTTTTCAAAAAAAGGCTTTAAATAAAATAAAGCTTCATTTTGCTGAAAAAATCGAGAAAAGTGGAAGGGAATATGGCAGTTGCCATACACCTACTATGTGTCACACCTTTACGAACCCAGTCTCCATTTAATTGTTGAGCACACCCTTTAGTGCAGTTCTTCTGAGTGACATTGTCACCTAAGTGCCTCTTTTCCCTCCACCTCCACTGCCCTTCCTGGAGCCAGCCCGGTGGCTTGTTCCTTGCCTCATTCCTGGGAGCCCCAGGCCAGCCTATTTGAGACTGCAGCTCACCCTGCTCTCACCAGCGAGCTCGCTGCTTCCTCTCCTGCTTCACTTTCCCCCACATTACCACCATCTAGCTAACATTTATTTTTCTTATATACCTTTTCCTTCTCTCCCCCACCCCCAACTAGAACTGAAACTCCATGAGGTCAAGAATGTTTGTCCCTTTGGTTCACAGCTGTATCTCATATATATACTAGGCACTAAGGAAGCAATCAATTGATACTGAATGCATGAATGAATAAATAAATGAATGTAAAGAAGAAACAGAAGTTCTGAGAGTGATTATCTTATCCTTGATCCTGGTGGTGAGTCACACGCCTGGGAACACAAAGGTGAACGAGGCCTGGTCACTGCTCATCTAAGCTGATAGCACAGTCTGGTGGGCAAGGCAGATGGGCAGTGACAAGCTGTGATGAGATCTCAAGACCTTGACCCCAGGCGTCTGGTCTTTCTCTGATCCAAGCCATGCCAGCACCCTGAATTATTTCAGTTTCCATGGGAATTCATGACCACAGGATCACTGTTTAAAGTACAAATCACAGCACACTACCCCTATTTAGAATGTTTCTCTGACACACAGTGCTTTTCATATGCCACCCCAAATACTCCACACTTCCTACAGTGTCCTGCGTCCATGGACTGGTCATGCCTCGACTCCAGCCTTGACAAGAGACTCTCCCTCCTCCCATCTGTGCTCTAGTGAGTGAACAAGCCAACTGAAGCCCCTCGACTTGCCTTCTGCCGTGAGTACCTTCCCTACCTCTTCACTTCGCTGGTCTCTGTGCATCCTCCGGATCTCAGCTTAAAGTCACTTCCTCAGTGAAGCCATGCCTCAGGTATGTCTCCTTCTGGGAGGTGTCTCCCCCTCCCCTGTCTAAAGAAGCCCTCCCTTCATCCTCAGTCCCTGAATCCTGCCTTATGTTCGATACCTGGCCAAACAGTATAAGTAATTATTTATTAGCTTTCTACCCCACCAGAAGATAGGGACCTGTCCCCTGCTGTAATCTTAGGGCTAGAACAGAGTTTGTATGTCATTGGCCCTCAATAAACACACACATGAAAAAAATTAATGAATTCCTTTGGCTAGCTTGGGTCCCTATTATGTATTCTTAGAGTACTAGGAAGCTGTCTTTTGATGTGTTTTTATCCTTAAAGATTATTTATGATTATCTGTTTAAACTATCTTTTCTGCAGGATTCCAATTTCACCAGGGACAAGAACTGTCCTGTCTATTTGCAGGGGCTAGCACTGTCTGCCATGTAGTGGACCCTTAACAAGCCCACGCTGAGTCAATGAATGAGGTAGCGATGAGCACACCAAGGGCATCAGGCCCCCGTGTGCCACTCAAGATTCTCTGACTCTGCCAGTGTTAAGGCTGGGGTGTGGTTTCCATCGAGCTACAGTGTCTACTTCTCAACTGGTCAAAACTTGGAGTAAAGGGGCTGGCCCCGAGGCCGAGTTGTTCAGTTTGCACGCTCCGCTGCAGGAGGCCCAGTGTTTCATTGGTTCGAATCCTGGAAAAAAAAATATAATAAAATCTTTAAAAAAAAAAAAAACTTGGAGTAAAGATGTAAATGATTAATTAGCATCCTCAAATCCCAAAAGTGCTATAAACAAGGTATACATAAAGTACTAGAGCAATATCCAGGCCACATGATACCCTAGCATAGAGAGTTGGGGGTGGTCAGGGAAACCCAGAGAGAAGAGAGGATATCTAAGGTGGCTTTGAGGGAGAAGGAGGAGAATGCTCAGGGAGAAGTCAGAGCAGGATATCACAGGCAAAGGGTCCACACAGGCACTCTCATGTGGCCATGCAGTCCCTTGTGTTGGCCATGTAGCTGCTTAAGGGGTGATGCCAGGATGGAGGCCCAGGTCTCCTATCCCTGCAGAAGATCCTGAGCTCATTCATCTCCCTCCCAATTCACTTGGATTCTCTGGGTATGGATTAGTTCAGAATACTTCAGGCTCCAAGTAATGGAAAGTCTAACTTGTAGTCACTTCAACAGAAAAGATTTTTCTTTTCTCATATGACATCTGGAGAAAAATGAGTGCTGGTGTTTCAGTGCTTCAACAACACCAGGGCTAACATCTCTGGGAGTCTTTTTGTTGATCCCTAATACTTGTTGCCCCTGATCACAGGATGGCTGCTGCAACTCCAGGCATCATATCTGCAGTCCAGGCTGGAAAAAGAGAATCAGTATAACCTGCCTCTTCTCTCAATTTTTATCATGAAAGCAAAAGCTGTCCCAGAGACTTTCAGCTCCTTAGCCAGAGCTTGGTCCCAAGGACATCCATCACTGCTACAGAAGAGGATGGGAAGTGGGTGTGAGTATTTAGCTGGACACATTACTGCTGCTGAACAAAATCAAGGTCCTACTGGCAGAGAAGAGGAGAGAGTGTCCACCTTAGAGTCTGAATCCCAATCATGTAATAAAGGTGAACCCAATGATATCAAGGGTGGCCCCTTCCAGGGACCACCTCCCTAACAGCCACCTGCTCTATCACATCCAAACTCTGCTTTTCTTGGCAACACAAAAGCAGACTTGCAGGTGGGCTCTGGACCTTGAGAATTCCCCCAGCCACTGCCTGGATTAATTCTCCTTGAGGCAGCTCTGGGCCCAGGCCAGGACTTTGCATGCACCTGGAGTTCTCCTGGCAGTGCTGGCCATTGTACAGGTCACACTGCAGTGCTGGTGCCAGGGCTGGACTCAGAGGCCCCAGATGACCAGCCCTTCTTGCCTGACCTCACTCTCCCAGGCCCTTACATATGTGGCCCCATTGTGGGGGGGTTGGAGGGGATGAGATGAGCATCAACACTCTAGATTTGAGACTCAGTTGACAAGTGCAGAAAGGGCCACCTGACCCCAACCACTAAGGCCCCAGCCCTACCCACTACTCCATCCGCCTCCATTCAGAGCTGAATCTGTGATGAACAGGGAAATGCAGTTAGGGCCTGGAAAGAATCCTTTGCTCTGACCTCACTCTTCCCCTGACAGCCTCAGACATGTCTCTTCCCATCACCGGTCCTCAGTTTCCTCACCTCTAAAATTGGGAATTACACTATTCCTTTGATATCCTGAAAAGATTCATGCTAGAGTAGACTGAACCCCAATTACAATCCTATATAATTGTCTCTGTGTTTTCTCCCTCTCTCTCTAGCTATATGATCATGGACCAGTCATTTTCATCTTCTCTGTGTCTCATGTTGCTCGTTTGTAAAATTGGAGGGTGACAGCCAAGAAATCCTGCCTCAGCACCAAGGTGGGCTGCCCTGGGAGCACAAGGTACGGTGTGCAAAGGACACAGAGATGAGAGGAAGGTGCAGCCCCAAGGTGTTTGTCTGGGCTAAGGCTGAGTGCATAGGAACTCCATCTGCCCAGGGCAGTGGCCCAGAGAGCAGGCTGCTGGCACATGACTGGGAGACATGCTGGGCCTGCCACACACACTGCCCATCTGCTCCTGGCAGGTCAAAGTTCTGGTGAAGGGTCCCGTGAGGCCAGCCTCCCTACACACAAAGGCTGCTGCTCAGCCAGGCCTCTCCCTGGCCCCAGGACCACCCCAGGGGCTCTGCAGGGCCAGGGCTGATGGCACAGACAGGGGACAGAAAAGATGGGGAGAAGATCCCAGAGCCCTGAGCTCCTGTGGTCAATTAAGCCATCTGCCAGCCATGGGGACCAGCCCACCCAAGAGGGAAGTGCACTGTGTTCCTGGTGTACAGGAAGTGAGTCGCCCGGGGCCATCTGGGATGTGTTTTCAAGGAAATCTTGAAAACTGCAGCTCCAGCCAGAGGTAAACAGGATTTCATTAAATCATGCCTGGCCCAAGGAACAGAGAGAGGGTCTAATTTCACCAAAGCAGCTATGTTCTCCGTGTAAGGCTCCTGCCGGCCATTTTGGGAAAAGACACCCCTCCTCAGAGAAGACAAACAGACATGTCTGTGTCTGGTCTCCTCACTAAGCCCTCAGGCGCCCTGTTGCGCTCAGGAGTGTGCGTGGGTGTGGGTGGGTGTTGGCGTGCCTGCCTGCCTAACCTGACACCCACCCATTTGTCCAGATCACCTGTGTCCAGACCTGTCCAAGCACCTGTGACGGCTGCTGAGTGAAGTGTTGTCATTGGCTGGACTGGGTTAATCTCAGGATACCTCTCTGGGGTAGATATTATCATCCATTTTTTGCTTTTTAAAAATAAGGAAAAGATAACTTTGGGAGATTCAATACTTTATCTAGTGTCGTGTGGCCAGGAGGAGGTAGCCCTGAGATTGAAATCCAGGTCTCGTCGCCCAGTGTCTAGTCCACAGGTCAGCCCTCAGGATGTGAGCCTCCAGGCTGCTCCTCCAAATTCTCTCTATCTGCTTGAGACGAGCATTCACGGTCTGACTCTACCTGGCTCTCGTGATGGCCCTGGGAGGTCACCAGTGCCAGGACTGTGTCCATTCTGCAGATGGTAGAAATGGGTCAGTGAGGCTGGTTGCTAGCCCAGGGTCACTTCACCAGTTTGGGACCAGTCTGGTTGCAGATCTTAGAACTCTTCCTTCTCCTCAACTGTGTCGGACAGAGAGCCACACACTTGCCAGGGGAAAGTTCCAACTAATTTTCTAAGCATTAATTCCTACATAAAGCCCTCATTTCCAGGCTTGTGGGCAAACACTTGGAACATGGTCTCTCCCCCAGCTCTTCCCTTTGTAGCTGGGCCCCTAGGCCCTCCAGGTGGGCTTCAAAAAAAAGTTTCATGTTTCAGGCGGTGAGGTCCCACTGGGTCCATGGAGCTGTGGACATGGGTCAGCACCTGAGCATATAGCCAGCGGGTCCTCACTAGCAGCCTGATCCTAAGTAATTCTTCACCCCACCTGTGGGCAGCGCCTGGACCTGCACCTGGCATTTCTTCTCCAAGTTTCTGTGTGCTGGCTGAGTGAAGCAGGAGGTAGCACAGGGCTGCCACAAACCCCACAGAAGCCAGAAGTCTGTGGAATGGGCACCCCCTCCCAGCCAGAAAGAGAGACACTCTTTCAGTGCTCCCCTGGGCTGGCACATTTTGTGACATGCATTACCTTGCTGACCCTCAAATAACCTGATGACAAAGATGCTATTCTCCCTCTTTCACAGAGAGAGAACCTGGTTGAGAGAGGTTACGCAGCTTGCTCAGGGTCACACAGCTGGGAAGGAGCACAGCTAGCCTTTGAACTTAGGGCTTGACACTAGCAGCCATGAGTGCTCCTCTGCCCTGGTGAACCTCAGAGCAAGGGAGGGATCCCAGGAGCCATCTCTTCGCCCCCAGGAATTCAGCTCTGGAAGACAGTGGGTGCAGGTGCTGAGGCCCACCCTCTTCTATTGAGGATGGGAGAACCAGAGCCCAGGGATGCGGAGGACTGGTCAATGTCACAGCGAAGTTGGCTCTGCCAAACACCTTCTCTAAGAGCCCACTGGAAGCTGAGTCCTCTCCAAGGCACAGCTGAGGGAGACTGTGGACAGCAAGAAGCCTGTGCCCTGCCCTCCAGGGTTCCAGAAGGAGCATATTCACAGAAGAGCATGGGTGGGTTCTGTGCCTGGGGCCATGCTGGCCCACTCCTGCCTGGTGCATCTACCTAACCTTGCCCATGAGTTCCCTTCCAGCTACATTTCAAAGCTCCCTGAACCTTTCGTCCCTGTCCTTCCAGTGATGTACAGTCTGGTCCTCACTCCCTCTTCTGTTTTACGTGCTATGAAGAGAGAGGCAGTTTAAGAAGTCACAGGGGAGGCAAGTTAGCCGATAATTGAAGAGGCATCTGACTTCAAATGCTGAGAGCTGGCCCCAGCTCTGCCACTTATGTGATGATGAGCCTCTCCCAGCTAACTCGTTGCCCCCCAGGCCCCTTCCTCAGCCTCCCCAGGCATGCATGGACTCAGCCAGGACAGGAGCGTTGAGCTCCGGCCTCAAAGCTCTGTGTGGAAGTCTGAGCATCTTAGGGGCCCTTGTGTCATGTTATTCTTCTGCTAAATACCACCCGAGACTCCTCAAGCTCTAGGAGAAAGCACTTAAAGCCTCAAGCAAACTTCCAGCCTCATTTCTCATGGATTCCCTCCCACTACATGGACAGCTAGGTGGGTTGTTCTTTTTCCAACATGTGAATCTCTGAAGAGGAAAAGTTCAACCCAAAGCATCATGAACAGTGGCTGCTCCTAAGGGGTGTGAGTGTGTATGAGCGTGTGTGCAAATGTGAGATCTTGAAAATGGCTGGAGGTGACCAAAGGTAGCTGGTAGTTACTCAGGAACACAGGAAGAACATGGGAAAAGCCGTCATCTCCAGGGTGACTCATGCATTCACTTACGTCTTCACTGAGCTCCTTCCTTGTTCCACACAGGGCCAGCAGCTGGGCTAAATGGTGAGCAAAGCAGAAACATCCTTGCCTTCTCAGTTCCTGCAGCCTGGTAGAGAGGCAGACAATGCCTACATACATGAATAGGTAATTACATGCTGAGCAAAGGCTAGAAAGGAAAATACAGGTTAGGGCCTGGGCCTTGCTTGCTCAGCAAAAGCCCCCAAGCCCATTGCAACCACATGACTTTCTGGCCCCCTTCTGGGCAGGACACCCAGCCGCTAGGATCTTCAACAATCCAGGGCCTAGCCAGCCCGGATCTTACCTTCTCTCTCTTAAAGAACATCACATCTTAAAGGGGCATAGAGCCCCTCCATGTGAGCTATTGTGCCTAGGAACGCTGGTTGTAGCAGGGACAGCCTCTTGGCAGGCATATAGCCTTTGTGTCCCCCGCCTATATAAGAGATCCCCTCCCTGCACACAGTTGTGGGCGCATGTTGCTGTCCAGCCGGCCACCACCCCACCTCGCTGTGAGCAACTCCCAGTGAACCTCTATGTCTCGTTCACTGACTCCAGTTCTTTTCTTTGGTCTCTCCGCAACCTATCCCGCACTGCTCACCCAGCTGGGCATGTGGCCAGACAACAGGCTAATGTGAGCCGTATGTGAAGGAAAAGTTGAACTAATCTGGAGAAGAGAATTCCATGAGAAAGTGATCTCTGAACTAAAATCTGAAGGATGAGTAGAGAAAGTTAACAGGGGAAAGAGGAGAAGGGGAGTAAGAATTTTCTTGGCAGAGGACATGGCTTGTGCAAAGGCCCTGTGGCAGGGAGGAACATGGCACAATTGATGGGCTTAAAAAAGGCCCAGGTCACTAAGCTCAATGAGTAAGAGAAAGAGTAGGGCAGCTGAGCATGGAAAGGCAGGTGGAGCAAACTATGGAGGACACTGTGGGTCAGGTTAGGGACTTGTCCTTCCTCATAGCTCAACGGAAACCATCAAATAGTTTGAAGCAGGGAGTAACATCCTCAGATTTGTGTCTTAGGAATGTCACTCTGACAGCTTTGGTGGATGAGGGGTGGAGAGCGGAGACAAACAGACGAATAAAGACCACATCTGTTTGGGAGGACTTTGCATCATCCATGCAGAAAAGAGATGGCCGTCGCTTGGTCAAGAGTGATGATGAGAGAGTTGGAGAGAAATGGGTGAGTTCAAGAGATGCTTAAGAGTTCAAATCAACATGACCCAATAAATTTTATTAGGAGGGGTAGGGTCATAGGAAATATCCAGGCTGAATGGGCAGCAGTTAATGGAAATAAGAAACAGTGGACATGGTCACTCTTGGCTTATTTTTCTAAATGCAGATGCTGACTCTTGGGAGATTATAGGAGGACAAAAGTGCATGTCTAGCTGAGGAAGAGATGAGACCAGAATAATATTCAGGTGTGGGCCAGAGTTGGCAACTGGGGCAAAGAGGGGCTGAAGAGTCAGAAAAGCTGTAGCCATTCCGGTCCACGTCCCTTCTTTCTTCCTGCCTGGTCCGGGCATGTGTGATGATGCCCACAGGGAGGGGAAGAGGCTGACTGCACACTCTTTGGTCTCAGGTGGGGCATAGTCCCCCTTCCCTCCCTTCATCAGTGCCTTCTTGCTTCCCCCTGTACTGCTCAGCCTGTGGGCCAGTCCTATGGGGGTGCCTCCCCTGCTCCCACTCTGCACTCCCCTGCCGTGGCAGCTTACTAGTCATGTTGGCCGTCCCACTTAATCCTCCCAGCAGCTCTTTGAGGAATGTACTAGTAGGATGTATACCCATTTGGCCGATGAGGAAAATTGAAGCTCAGAGCAGTGACTTAATTTGCTCGAGGTCGTGCCACTGGCAAGGGCAGATAGGAGCTGGAGCTCGGTCCTATCTGAGTCCACAGGCCAGGCTTAACCTCTAATCTCTACCGGCTTCTCCCCGCTGGTTCCTCAGCCCCACAGCCAGGCCGGGCCCCAGCTAAGGGCGTGAAACCGAACCCCACGTGCCCACCTTTCCCAGACTCCTTCCCTGTGACTGAGGGCTCCTGGCACCTCTCACCACCCCTGGTAGGGTGGTGGTGTCCAGCATGAGAAATAGCTGCTGTAAACCAGGATCCAACTTTAACTCATCAACTCTAAGTTACTCTTAGGAATCTGAACAAAATGTCACCCTAATTTATTCTCTTCATGCCCCATGTCCCTCTAAGAGTCCTAAACAGTGAGACACCCATGGGGCGGTAGACACCATGCACCACACAAAAGCCTCCTTGTTATCTCAGCCAGCCCCCCAAGTCACAGCACCTCTGGAGTCCCCAAAGTTAGGTCCCAGCAAAGTCCATTCCCAGAGCCCTACCAATCCATGAGCCATGAGGACCTCATCCCCCAGCCTCCTATCCAGACCTCCTGGAGCCCCAAGCGCGCCCTACCATGACCTCCGGTGTCGGTTTGGACCGGGCACTTTCCCTCTCTCAAGTTCCCATACTGGAGAAATCATGAATTTGGACTAGAGAAATTCTAAGGTCCCTTCTAGCTCTAAAATCCTATGTTCTGTCTAGAAAATGACCAAAAAATGGCATATCCCATTCCAAATAAATAAGGAAGGCTATGAACACAATCTACCCTCCTCATCACACGTTTTTGATGAATTCCTTGATGGAAATTTCACAGGGAGAGAGCCTTGCCTGTTTGGGTTACTGCTCTATCCGCAGAGCCCAGGCCGGAGCCTAAGACACAGTTGGGGCTCAGTAACTGTTTAGTGACTGACTGGCTGTGTTCATTTCCTAGGGCTACTATAACAGAGTCCCACAAACTGGCTGGCTTAGAACAATGGATATCCATCTGCTACAGATCTGGAGGCGAGAAGTCCATAACTAAGGTGTCCTGAGGGCATGCTCCCTCTAAAGCCTGTGGGGCAGGATGCTCCCTCGACTCTTGCAGCTTGCGCTGCTGGTGGCTGTCCATCCTTGCTGTTCACGCCGAGGATCTCTGTCTCTGCTGTCATGTGATCATCTTCTCCCTGTGTCTCTGTTTTCTCCCTTCTTATAAGGACACCAGTTATGCTGGATTTAGGCCCACTCTAAGGACATTATCTTAACTTGATTACATCTGCAAAGACCCTACTTCCAAATAAGGTCACATTCACAGACATGGGGCTTAGGACTCCGTCATATCTTTTTGGGGACATGATTCAACCCATAACACTGAATAAATTCCCCAAATGTCCTGGGATATTCCATTCCTGACTTCTGTTTCGGAAGGGCTCCTGCTGGAGTGGGCTCAGTGCCACTTCCCGGCAGAGCCGTGTTTCCTTTTCAGGAGCCAACACAGCCTGATGGTGGTGATGGTGGGGGTGGGGGCCTCTTCTATTTCTAGATTGCTAAGGCTGGAAGGGACTTGGGGCCCATCTGGGCCACCTCCTCATGTGCCAGGAGAGGAAAACAGAACTAGAGGAGGGGAGGGGCTGGCTCCTGGGCCCAGAGGAAGCAGTTAAGCCTGCCCCATTTCACCTTGGTCACCATTTACATTCTGCCTGGATTCTGGATTATTTTCTGGATTCTAGAAAGGACTTAAATGAGGCTGACAGGGAGCTTGTATCATTGCCTGAATTTGAAGCCATGAATCATGCTGTGTCTGTGGGAGCTTGTGAAGGAGAAGCTAGAACATATTTGTTCAAATTAAATAATTCTTGATCCAATGTGGCGACTATCAGCCAGCCTTCTGTGCTGAGGGCAGGGGCTTCTGGCATGAGAAGAGAGAAGCCTAGGAGAAGAGACAGCAGATGCTGTAGAGGGGGCTCCAGGTTGACTCCGGGCCCTGGGCTCAGCATGTCTGGGTATGGTAGATGGGTCCACCAGAAGTTTATTAGGATGCTGAGCGCATTGGTTTTCCACTGCTGTCAGAAAATTACCACAAGCTCAGGGCGTCATTGAATCTGTCAAAAACCAGTTAGTCATATTTGTGTCTGTTTCCAGGTTATTTATTCTGTTTTATTGATGTATGTGTCTATCTCTTACCAGTGCCCTGCAGTTTGATTACTGGAGCGTTATAGTAAGTCTTAAAATCAGGTAGTGTCAATCTTCCAAATTTGTTTATTTTTCAAAATTGTTGTGGCTATTCTAGTTCTGGTTCCTTTTCCTATAAATTTTAGAATCAGCTTATCTGTATCACAAAAAATTCTGCTGAAGTTTTGACTGGAAATTCTTTAAATCTATGGAACAAATTTGGGGAGAATTGACATCTTAGCTATGTTGAGTCTTGCAATCCAGGAACACAATATGTCTCTCCGTTTATTTAGTTGTTACTGCTTTCAGCAGTGTTTTACAGTTTTTATCATGTGAGTCCTGAACATGTATTCTTAGATTTATTGCTAAGTATTTAATTTTGGGAAACTTTTTATAAATGGCATTGGTTTTTAAAATTCTAGTTTCCAATTATTTATTGCCAGCATATAAAAATATGATTGATTTTTTCATGTTGACTTTATATCCCACAACCTTGCTAAACTCAATATTAAGATGATTATTTTGGTAGGTTCTTTGCGATTTTCTACAGTCATGTCTGTGAATAGGGATAGTTTTATTTCTTCCTTTACAAGCTGTATGCTTTTTCTTTCTTCTCCTTGCCTTATTGCACTGTGACTTCCAGTATGATGCTAAATAACAGCAGCGAGAGCAGATGACTTTGCCTTGTTCTCCTTGTGGGGAAGCATTCAGTCCTTCATTATGGAGTCTGATGACAGTTATGGAATTTTTATAAACAATCAAGTTAAGGAAGTTCTCTTCTGGTCATAGTTTGCTGAAAGTTTTTATCACAAATGTATGTTGAATTTTGTTAAATTTTTTTCTGCATCAATTGGTATGACTGTGTGGCTTTTATTATTTAATCTATTAATATGATAGCTTGTATTGATTAATTTTCAAATATTGACCCAGTCTTGCGTTCCTGAGATGAACCCCGTTTGGTTGAGGTGTATTACTCTTTTTACATGTTGCTGGATTTGATTTGCTGACATTTTGTTGAGTACATTTGCATGTTCCTGAGGGAATTTGTCTATAGCTTTCTCTTCATGCACTGTTTTTTTATGGTTTTGATTTCAGAGTAATGGTGGCCTTATAAAATGAGTCGTGAAGTGTTCCTTCTATTTTCTGGAAATGATTTTGTAGAATTGGTGTTAGTTCTTCTTTAAATGTTTGGTAGAAAATGGCAGTGAAACTAGCTTGGCCTGGAGTTTTCTTTTATGGGTGAGTTTTTTAACTACAAGCTCTGTTTCTTTAATAAATACACAACTATTCAGGTTACCTATTTATTCCTAGGTAGGCTTTAGTAATTTATTGCCTTCAAATAATTAGTCCATTTCACTTAAGTTGTCGAATTTATGTGCATTGAGTCATTTGCAGTATTCCCTTTTCACTTTTTTAGTGCCTATGTGACTTTTGGGTTTTGAGGGAGCTTAAAAATAACACCCCATCTAATTTCTCCCTGCCCAGGAAGGAATCAGGCAGCCGCCTTTGATTCTGATAAAGCCATCTTGAAGGACTTGCTTAGCTCTAGATAGGAGGCTTGCTAACACACCTGGAACTGTACTCATCCATCTAATCACAGTTGTCACAGGCTCCCGTATACAAGCCAGCCTCTAAAACATGTGGCTTGGAGGAGAAGATGTGCTCTCTGCAGGTGTTCGATCTGGAAGCAGTGAGAAGAAAAGAGATGAGTCCCTTTGCTGGGGATTGAATGCTCATGTCCCACAAAAATGCATATGTTGAAACCTAATCCCCAATGTGATGGTATTTGGAAGAGGGGCCTTTGGGAGGTGATTAGGTCCTGAGGGTGGGGCGCTCGTGAATGGGATTAATGTCCTTATGAAAGAGACCCCAGAGAGCTCCTTTGCCTGTTCCACCACATGAGGACACAGGGAGAAGGTGGCTGTCTAGGAAGCAGGAAGCAGGCCCACACCAGACACCAAATCTGCTGGTGCCTTGATCTTGGACTTCCCAGCCTTCAGAATAGCGAGAAATAAATGTTTGATGTTAAGACACCCAGTCTATGGTGTTTTTATTACAGCAGCCCAAACGGACCAAGACACCTTGCATGCCCATTTCCTACTCATACAGTCACCATATGAGTCAGGGGGAGAGAAAACAAGAGTGTTATGCTAGCAGAGGTCCCACAGCTTGGAAGCAGGAAGCCAGGGGAAAGGAGATTCCTCTCCAATAAGGATTTTTGGTGAACTCTCATGAACTGTACTCTAGTGACTCCTGGAGAAGTTGGGGAGGGGTGGCCTGGTGGTCCTACAACAGCAGGTGGAAAGAAGAACCAAGTAAATCTCATTTGTTAGATTAATGTCATATGCAGGTTAATGTCTAACACAAGTTAGAAAAATCACAGTGTGATACATTAAATGCTAGATCAGACATTTGTGACAATGTTGTGACAATATGGAGGAAGTGGTAACTAAGGGCAGGGGTCAGAATTAGGGTGGGGTCAGGCCAGGCTTCATGGAAGGGGCATGACTTATGCAAATAACGGATGGGAGACTGAGGTGGATAGAAGAACTCAAGGGGATGGGGCATAGGGAGGAATGGAGGGAGACGAGGCAGGAGAGATGGGTTGGAATGAGATGGAGAAGGATTTTAAATGCCACGCTGAGATCTGGATGTACCCTTTTAGGGAGGAGGAGCTAGGGAGGCGTTCATCAAGAATACTGCTGGGTTAGGCACACCAGTTTTGAGAGTAGTGAAATATCTCCATACCATTAGCAAAAAGCCAGGGTTGAAGGCCTCCTAAGTTATTGCCCTCCCGCACCCACTCTCCTCCACTCTGTTACCCTCCCCCAGGGCCCTTGGACTCCACCACCATCCAGTGAGTAAAAGTTACTATCTGGCCCAACAGGCACCTGCTTTGGCCTCTAGCTGATGCCCATTCTGATGATCTGGTTGGCTGGTGCCTGTGCTTGCCTCTCCCCCTTCAGTAGCCATGAGGAGAACATTATGGAAAAGCAAGACGCAGCCTGGACAGAGACCTTGCTCTTCAGCTGCCTGTCCCCAAGCCCCTTCGTCTGGATGTGGCTGGCACAAGGCCTCAGGCCTTGGAGAACTCTCCTTGTTAGGATTTAAAAACAAAACCATGGAATTTCTATAGTTTTTTAAATTTTGTTCCCTCAATACATTAAGAGTTCCCGGAGAGAAAAGTAGTTCCTTTGGAACCTGCAACACTTTTAAGTCAAAAAAATATCTGTCAAGGAGGAACAAGACAGAATTCCTTGTGATCAGATGCTCTTGGTTCTACAGCAATTTATCAAAGCCCATCTCATCAATTAGAGAAATATTTGAAAAATCATCACAGCTCCGGCAAGCGCCTCATGTATAATTCAAAGTGATGCTCTGGATGAAGTGAGGAAGCTACAGAAGTCAGGATTGGTTTTTGAATGTAAACCTGCCGATTGTCCCTTTGATCCCAAACCCAGGAACAAACTCCCAGCCCCTTGAAAATTGCATTTAGCCTTGGAGGTAGAAGTGTAGAAATCTCGAGCCTGAAGTATAGAAACTTCTTCTGCTCCCTTTGGGCCCCCTATAGGGAGATCGTTTCTTGGTTCTTGGAAATTGAGTCTCCCTGTGAGGTGAAGGCAGAAAGAAGCGACCCTCATATCTGTGCAGGATTCTCCTTTCATCCCAGCCTCCAATACCAAGTGGTTCAGAGGGCCACAAATGAAGAAAAAACAACCAAACAAGTGATGGAATGATGCTCTGTAAAAACCACCCTCACTCTCCTTATTTCCCTTGCCCTTCCCACAATTCAGGTATTATCCCTATGTTATAGGTGAGGAGACTAGGGCAGAGAGGTGGAGTGACTTGCTCAGGGTGACACAGCAAATTCGCAGTGAAGAGTATTTGTACTTGCATCACCAGACACTGCCTCTAGGGGTACAAAACCCAAGTTTCAATTCTGATCGGTTGCTCTACTTGAATAATGTGGAGACTGATAAGCAGAAAATTGGTCATTTTTAAGGTTTTTTTTCATCAAAGTTTGGTTTGGAATAATAAAGTCTTAGTTAAAAATATCAAATAGCTATTGCTAAGTGCAGTGGCCATATTGCTTATATTATTTAAACCATTCCATGCCCAAATTGTATTTAATTAACAGGTTCAATTGATTTCACCTCCGATCTGCACTCATGACATATAGAGCCCACGTGATTTAAGACTCCAGCACTACCAGCTCAGGGCACCCTCACAATAGGGTGACACAGGGAGGGGTGGAGGAGACACGCCGCTGTACAGAGAAGCAAACACTTCCTTTGGGTTCAACCCAGAAGTTACTCTTACTGCTCACACCTGGTCCCCACTTACCCTTGCAATATGGCCGAACACAAAGATAGCTCTGAGAGGGACAGCAGGCCCTGAAGGATTCCTTGTGCAGTGGGTCACCAGAGACAGGCCTCTGCAGGGCATATACAGAGGCAGGCAGACGGTCCTCTTCAGTTCTGTGCTCTAGGTGGTTGTGGAACATCAGAAATGCGGTAGGGGAAGACCGGAATTCTGAGCACTTCTAAGGACAGAAAAAGAGCATCCTCCCCCATGAATAAGGAGGTCCTTTGAAGGCCGATGAGACAGTCCACCCCAGAACAGATGGCAAAAGAGGCAAGGGGTGCAGAGAGGAGGAGCCAGGAGCTGCACAGTGCAAGTGAAATATCCAACTGGGACCGGGCAATCCAGGCAAGCTCTCTAGAAGTGCATGCAGGGAGGGGTCTATCCTGTCCTCCTCATACTCCAGGCCCAGCCCCCAGCACAGTGTCTAAAACATGGCAGGTGCTCAGCAAGGTGAAAGAAGGAGAGCCAGCATCACTTTCCTGCAGAAGCTGATCAAGATGTTCCAGTGTGAGTCAAGGGCCCCTCTTCTGAGCTCCCATAATATCCGGGGCTTGTTCGTCACCAGAACACTGTCACATTGCATTATAATCATCTGATTTCTGGTCTGCTTCCTTCCTAGAACTTTGTTTTGCATTCCCAGCATCTTCTCTAGCATATGGTACATAGTAAGCCCTGAAGGAAGGAGGGAAAGAAAGGAGGGAGGAAATGTTCCATCAGCTACTTTGGGCTAAAGGTTTCACCAATAACTGAGAGAGGAGAAAAAAACGGAAGTTAATAGCAGGTCCCACTGTACATCATCTCTAGGTTGCTGAATATAATCATGCTGCTGTAAACTCTATAAGGAACCCCACTGAGTTCTCCTCCTATAGTGGGAGTTCAATCATGCTGTTATTCTATGAGAGTATAAGTTTCAAGACTTCAGAGTCTGTCTTGGTCATCATTGTTTCACTAGCCTCTGGCATATAACTATAACAACTTAATGAATATTGGTTGAATAAATGAATGAGTGAGTCAGTGAGTGAATTAGGTCCTTTTGTGTTCTTTATAAAGTCCTGGTTTACCAAGCCCATTTGTGCATGGTTCACAGGATTCTCTGTGCAGGCTGCACCCATGATGATGGGGGTCCATAGCCTGCAGCCCATTGCAGCATCCTGCCTCCCCCCTTGAAATGCTCAACGTCACAGTTAAACCGCGTGGGGCCGCCAGCTGGAGGAAGAGCCTCTGTTGAATCCAGTGGCCTGCATTATTTTCCTAATCTTATTCCACCTGTCATACAGATGTGAATGGTCCTTCCTTTATTCTGGGCCTCATCTTCCCATCTATAAAGTGAGAAAGCTACCCCAGAAGATCCCAAAGCTTTCCTAGCACTTCAGGCAAAAATTAGGAAGGAGGTGGATGTGGTGATGGCATTCTGGCATCTTCCTGCAGCAGCTCCC